TCGTTGGTAAGTAGATAATGTTTCTCACTTTGGTCCGTGAGATCGTGGGTCAGATGATAATCCCGAGAGACTCGTACAGAGGCAGAGCCAACAGGGTCAATCTCGCATGTTAACGTATCTCGAGGCATTAGTAGGATAGCTTGGCTCTCGTCGTCAAATTGGAAACATTTCAGAGGCGAGGCGAGGTTTGTTGAGCAATGTTTAAGACGCACCCGGCATGGAGGAATTCAACAAAGCGCCGACGACAACATGCCCTTTCAGTTTTGGAGAAAAGCTTAGGATCCCTCAAACCTCCTGTGATTTATGAAAGATGTTGTCTCGGTTAGGGGAATGCCTATGCGGAACACGTGGAGGTGTCGCCGGCGGCCCCGCAAATATCGGCCCCGAGCTCCGTGAAGAGCCCCGGGTTTGCGGCCGATGCAACCAGAGGTCAGTGGGCGGAATAGCAACATTGTCAGCGTCATTCACTGGACACGGTGGTTCGAATTGAACTCTTGCACGTCCCGTTCTCCGTGCCAGTGCGGAGGTTGGTCCCTTCGTCCCAAAATTTGTATGACAAGTGCCAAGCGTCTTGGTCAAACCTTCAGCCAAGCCACGGCTTGGCCACCCAACCAACCAACCTGTGGCTCGTAGTGTTGCTGAAGAGATAGATGGCTGCAGAGGCAGCCAGCTGAGGGAGGATTCAGAGTGGCTGGCGACGCGGTCCTGGCCAGACTGTTCGAGACGGCGGTGCCTGGCGTGGCTCGCCGCCAACGTCTCGAGCAGCGCGGGCCGAAAGCCTTGTGATGCGTCGGCGCCAATTAGCCAAGTCCATTGGTGTCAATGTCTTCTCATTCTCAACTGTGTGTTGCTTGTCCGACCCCACGATATCAAAGAGCAGATTATCTGTCTTGGAGATCGGCTGCATGCGCAGGGCAGGCTCGTATTCCTTGTTGATTCTCTCGGCTATCGAATCCGGATGCACATGGAGGACCGCCGAGCGAAACGGCGCTGCTTGGCGGACTGTTGGCAGCGGACGAGACGTCATGTATTCTGCGGTGCTTCCCCGCGTACCCACGAAGCGGCCAAGAAATCACCGGAGATGGTGGAATGGACCGGGGAATTCGAGATGCCGGTAAATGAAGGTTGTATGCGGGCGGCGGCACAATTGACTGAGAAAGCTGACAATGGAGGCGGGAAGTGCTTTTGGCGAGATTGATAAACAGTTGCATTCGTAAGCTGACCGTGTATTTTTGGAGCGGACTTTCGTGTCCCTGACAGATCGCTCGCCCTGGAGGGAGGGATTTGTTTGTGTTTGGTCCAGATCTCGGGGTTCAAGCTTCTTAGGTAAGCGAGTGAGCGGATGGGTTGGATGGTTCGGCACGACAGGATGAGGTGCGGATATTTCTCCCCCATTCGTCCCGCTCGCCGTTCCTTCGCTGGCTGCGAGTTTGGTGTTGTCAAATGTCAATTGAGTCTGCAGGACGCGTTCATGACTCTTGCCAGGCTGCCCTGTGTCCGCCACCCTGCGGCCAGAAAGTCAAAAGGCATAAGCATAATTGAAGAAATGAGCACGTTCGCACACGCTTTTCGCTGAGGCGCATGACGTCAACAAATCAGAGGCCGCCGTTCGCTCGGACGGGAGCATTGACTGGCAGCGGGATAATAGAGTTCCTGGAGCACAATGATGTGCTGCTTGGTGCCTGTCTGGCCCGAGTCTCTGGGATTTGTTTTTCCAGCACTGAGAAGCACTCAAGCAGTCTGGTCGGGGCCTTCTAGCGCTCCGGCTGGAGTTGGTGGTACAATGTTGATACCACAGTCAGCGATTGATAGCATCCTCCTGTAAGGCCAGGCCGCGAGATCCATCGGTGCAATACTCGATAGTGCCGTCGCGTTTTGTCTTGAGAGACTTGTCTGCCGGTGCCCATTTGTGTCCTTTTCTTAGTGCTTTTCGGTGGGCAGCCCCTTCTCCACGTGGGACCGGGTGACGAGGACCCCCTTTGATGTTTTGCGCCTCAGTTTCAGTAGCGGGAGTTGGAAACGGTGGAGAATGAAGGGGGCTCGATTGCCAGATTGTGCCTTATCGTGTCCGGGACTGAGTGAATGAAGGGGAATAAGAGTGGTCCGGGGACGGGTTCAGCGAGCTCAAAGTGTTTGCAGGTGTTCTGTTCTCCCTTGCTGATCTCTCGCTGCAGGGCACTGAGACAGAGAAACGAGCGTTTGGGAGACACTGAGGCGAGTGCCCGTTTTTTCGCAGTCGTGTTAATTTGTTCTCGACCACGCAGGTCCCTGTCGAAAATCCCCACAATAAATGCTGCAGGAATATTGGAGAAAATATTGGACAGGAAGGGTAAGGCGCGATCCACCTCAGCGCCAGCCACCCCCTGCACCACTTTGACGCTTTCCGTTTTCCGTCTTGCCCGGCTGATGGTTGTCCTGCAGTGGGCGATGGCAATTGCCAGTGACAAACGGAGGAGGGGAAACAGTAGGCTGGTGACAGGCTTTCGTTGGCGTTGGTGGGTGATGATGGGTGGTGTTCTTCTTTTCAGCTGAACGGCGCCTTGTTTTCCACGTGTGGCGTCGCTGTGTGCTCGAAGGCGCCGGGTACCTTTTTCGTTCAGTTTCTCAACACAAAGAAGGCTGGCAGCAAGCCCAGGGGATGATTGACAGTGTTGACAGGACAGCAAGCCATCGCGAGCGCCATACGCTGCGGAAGTGCGTGACGGTGTCTTCAATAGCCAAGCCCGCCATCCCAGGGCCCATCGCCAGCCAAGACTGCGATGGAGAAGAGGCGGCTGGCCTCGTCCCGTCTTGGGGTGTTGTTGTCCAGTGCGCTCGGTCAGACCGGACCAGCCAGTAGAGCAGTAGAAATGTGCATCGTCTGTTGAGCTGGCAGCTGCAAATGCACTCGCACAGGCGCTGTGCTGCACTGCCCAGTTTGTGCACTCTGTTGGCGGCTGCTCTTCGTCGACGAGGGGTACGGTATTGGATGCTCGTATGACGGAAATACGGTTGGTTGGGGGGAGGCAGTGAGAACGCAAAGTTCAGGTGAGGAAGGATTGGCAATTGAAGGCGCCGTGTGAATGATGATTGCCTTTCTCAGGTACCTGAAGATGCGGAAGTCACTGCCTGCTGCAGCTGCCTTCCTTAACATTTCATCCATCCATCGTTCCTTCCCTCACCTCAGTCGAAGAAAACGAAAAAACCAGGCAGGAGGCAGGAGGTACGTACCGTCAGTGTGTCCCGCCTTCCCCAACCCGAGCAGTAAACCTGGCGGGAAGATCCAGCGGTCCTGGCCAAGCGATTGGAGGCGCTAAACTGCATCTGGAACCCCGGACCCGGTACGTACTTCCTCCGGCTGGTGCTATTCGCCAGCCACTTGGTCGAAGCAGGTTCGAACTTCCAGGAACTTCTCAGAGCCCGTCGCTCCCGCAGCGCTTCCCTTGTCTCCCACGCCGCAGCAGCAGCAGCAGACCACCCCCTGTGACCCCCTCTCTTCCTGTTCAATGTCCCTTCCAGTGGCCATCCCTTCCTTCCGGCCTTCCCAGGTGGTGTCCACTGGGTTGCAGTGCCCTGTTGTGTTGTGCTGAAGGGTGTGGATTACGGGTTGCATCTGCTGTTTAGCCGTTTGCTGGCGGCGCTTCTGCACGCCAGGGAAGCCTCGCTGCATCACCTGAATATGTAACTCCTCATATGAAATAATACCAAGAGATACATCCGGTCACCCAACTTCTCCGCAGGGCTCTCCTCCTGGGTCGTACCATCCGATCCATCGGCCCTCTTCGCTGCGTCCCTACCTTACCTGTAGCCTGTAGGCTGTCTGTCTGTCTGTCTGTCTGTCTGTCTGTCTGTCTGTCTTACTCTTTACCGCGATTTCTTGCTTTTTGGTCTTTCGATTCCCATCAATTCAGTCATCACTTTCCCGATTTCCTCGCCGTCCTCCTCTCTTCTTGTCTCCCACCTCTCTCTTCTCCCTCCTCCATCGGCAACCCCGACCACCCTCGAGCACGAAACAGACGTCTTTTGACTCTCCCGATCAATCCGGCGCCCTCCGCCTCTCTACTTTCTCCCCTCCGCACACTCGCTTCGTCACCACTCGAGGAGGACCCAGGAGTAAGGACCGACCGATCGAACCCGCTGCCGACGATACCTCAGACGCTCCAACAGCCTTTCGACATCCACATCCACATCCACATTCTCATCCTCACCACTGTCGACCGCCGTATCCGAGGCTCGATATTCTATCTCTCGTCCTCGACAATTTCTTTTCCAAACAGCTCCTCCCCGACGAGGTCTACCAAGGATCAATATCGCCCAGTGCGCTTTGGGGGTCCGCCTGACACGAGAATTTCGCTTCCCTCACAATCCCACCCTCCCGAAGACCGAGCCGAACATCCACCCCTGGTGACATATAACCGCCCTCTCGAAATCACCGCGTCTCAGAAATCCTGACCTCGAAGTCGACCAAAAACACAACTCGCGACGTGCATCCATACATACGTACGCTCGATTTCGCCTCCCGGAACGACGAAACTGGCCCTCTTTCGCAGTCTGCATCGACCGAGCAAAAAGCAACGCTTTGAAGCAATCTGCGTGGCAGAAAGCTGGGACGGCAGCTGGACCTTGCTCGACCTCCCGACGACTTCGGACGAAAACATTACGACGCACTCCATCCGCCAATACAACAGTAAAGCTTTTTGAAAGCATCTCGGCCGAACACATACCACATCACTACCGACCAACGCCTCCACGACTCGATCACATTCCAAACACGCCCAATAACCTGGGCTTGACCTGCTGGCTTGTGGCTCATTTCTCGCCTCGTGCCAATCGCTGCGTATTCTGGTCGACCGCAATTAGGAGGAAATATTTCACTCTATTGCTTCCATTGTCTCCGCATTCCAGTGCCTTGTTTGGCTCTTTGGTGAACACCTACGACTAAATCCTTCCTTCGAAACCTCCTTCTCTTTTCAATCTCGACATCTGCAACATCGACTCAACGCCTCCTCACTGTCGCCAAAATGTGTAAGTTTCACCTGTCAGCATCCTGTCATTGATGGATCTTAACACCATGCAGCTTCTCCTACGACAACGTTGATGCCCTTTGCGCAGCTGCCAGCTTGTGCAACACAATGTGGTGTCATGTACGATGCCAACGGCGCTTGCGTCCCTCCTGCTGCCGCGCAGGCCGATGAGACGACCTACGAGAAATGCTTCTGCAGTTACAGTGCTCTGCAGCCCTGGAAGACCGCCGCCACCGGCGTGTGTGACTACGCCGGGTGCGATGCCGCTGGCTTCAGCAGCATTCAAGGGTGGTTCACATCCCTGTGCAACGCCGTCGATGGCAATGCTGTTGCAACAACATCTGGAGCTTCTTCCACGGCTACCAGCGGTTCATCAAAAGGCTCAAGCAACAGCGGCAATGGTGGAGACTGGTAAGCTTGCTGTGTTGTCACGACTTGTCCGATTGCTAATGCCTCGTAGGCTCTCCAACCACTGGAGATGGGTCGTCATGCTTGTCATCCTCGTCGTTGCCATCGCCGGCATCTGGATCGGTGCTTGCATCTGGCGCCGCCGCTACCTCAGGAGGAAGGATCGCATGTACGAGCTTGGCAAGCACGCTCACAAGGGCCCCAGCGGTATTATCGCTGGCTCCGGCGTCGACGTCAACCATGCCGGTCTCGCCCAAGGACCCGGCTCATTTATGCCTGGACCTGCTCCTGCCGCTTATGAGGAGAAGCCACCCAAGGAGAAGAAGAAGTGGGTTGTCAACGAGCGGACGTAAACGACCCGCAGGATACGTGTAGCAATACTCTTCAACACTATCCCTCAACGGCTTACGAGACGGCGTTTCTATCTTTTACGGCATTTGGTGTCTGGATATCCATTCACGTTGTTCTTGGGCAAGACTCGTGCTTTCTTTTTTGCTCATTATAGGCGTACGGCAGGAAATAGGAGGGTCTGTTTGTTTTGTTGGTAACAAATCATTGGTGGTCCATGTCCCTCTCACCACGCGGGTTTCACGGGGACGTCGTTGGACATTTGCAGGGGAAAACCGGCACCCAAAATCCACGTCACAGGAGCGGCCCGAGTCCACCACCTTTGGTATGCGGGTTTAGACTACGGCCGGACAGTGGTCTTGAGGCCAGTTCGGCATCCAAAAATGATAATTTTTATACCTCTTCATCGGCATTGGACACGTCCACCTGACAGTTTGCATTGTTTTGTTTAATGATTCGTGCACCTCACTGACTCGATAAAGCATTGTTTGCTGTTGCATGCGTCATTTTATTTTTCCTCTTTTCCACCTCTGCAGACCGGGGCCGGCTTGCGGCGGGGGAGCCTCCCGACCGTCCGAGCGGGCCGATCAAACTGATCAAACGGATTGTCGCAGTGGGTTCGCGACAACCCTGTGCTCTTCCTTTGACACCTGCAGCGTCGTAGCAGGGAGCTTTGTTGCAGTGTGGATTCGGGGGCCTGGACCCTTTTTTGCCATTTTTTTTTTTCTGTGGTGTCTGGGATCGTGTCGGGCTGGGGGGTTGTGAGGCAGGTTTGTCGGAGCTGACGACGGCCTCACGTAGTCAATTGGGGAGCTTCAGGCGTGTTTGGTTGGTGTATTCTTCTGTGCTTGGACTCGGGGCTTTTTGCGTCCGATTACGGTTCAATATGTTCCGTGAGTTACTTGGTGGGTT